GGAACTCGAAGGGTCGGGAAGCTACGAGGGCGTGCGTACAAGAGTTGAAAGAAAACGCGTCGCGTGCGATCGTTGGCACGCGTATTAGCGCTCTCCCCGCCATGGTTGGTTGCGAAGGTACTCCCCAAAGAGAGCGCGTTTCACAGGGAGGGAAGGGCCCTAGGCTTTTCCCGAGAAATGTGCGGCGTCCGACAGATACAATACGCGATGTTTGCTGGTCGAACGAGGTACGTAGTTGGCCGACATGCTCAAACGATGGAGCCTTGACTGTCCAAGACCGCTGTGCCCAAGCAAAAAAGGTTGGAATAAAAAACAACAATACCGATGCTTGCTTGCTTTCAAAGCTGGAGAGTGATTTGTGGGTGCAGGGATACTTACTCTGCATGCAATATTATTGGGCCAACACACACGCGCAGCATGGCACAAAAAATCAAAGACTCTTCATCCACCTGCTTACAGAAAGCACCCAGCTGTCGTAACATACCTACATCACGAGATATATAGTACGTGGTATGCTATATGCTACCATAATTAAGCTCATGAATATGTCTCCATGTCTCGATCACCGCTTCAACGCTCTCCGAACCCGGTCTGGACCAGGACCCGTTCGATGGCACTGCGGGTTCAAGCTCACAGCAGTAACGTGGAATACTTGTACAGCTCTTATTATGCCTCAGATACAAGCTGCTCGCGGGACCTGCGGGCTCCGCTCCGTTCGTTGTGTTCGGAAACGACAGCAAACGATCGAACACCATTGTGTGTGTGTGTTTTCGTCCTATATATTGTGGAGACAGTCCCCCCATTTTTCGTGGTGAGACGTGTACTACACTTTTCAGCGAATGTAGAGTACTACACTTTTCAGTGTATTTTTTCGTACAACTACAACCATCCAGGGTCACACAGGAGGGGGTAAACACCAGGGCTTTTTTCTTCTTTGCATTTCCTTTCATGCCCTACCTTCCCTGCGGTGCGTGCTGAATTTTATTTTTATCGCGAGAAGGGTCCAGCCGTCCCTTTCCATCGTCAACGGTGCTAACGTCGAAGTTTGGTACTCACGAGAGCTTTTTAGCTATGTTTCGGTTTCACCCGCAAATTTCGTAAATTTTCACCCAATCGAACTCACGACCTCTGCGACTAGCGGATTACGAGGATACCATTATTACATTATATATATAGACCACCGGGGCGACCGGCTGTTGTACCCACGTTCTAAACAAATTACACCACAAAGGATTTGTCTAGCAACCAATGGTTGAACCTGCGACTCAGCCCCCCAGACGAATTATAGATTGTGAGTGTCGATTAATGATCGCGACGTGCGTGTGCTGCTGAACAACCCTTTCTCATGCAATCCTCCACCAAGGGAATATTTTTTGGCATTTTCGGGGTATTTCTCGGAGTAATTTTGCCTTTCAAGATGTCCCAGTCTGTTGTACTTCACGCAGATGTTCATTCTAAGGAACAAAAAGTCAGCCCCGTCATGAACAAACACTCGTTGCTTTCAACTACGGTCTTCCTCTCGAGCTTTCTCAACAAAACCACAACAAGGACGATTTGTCCTCTATGAAAGGATGACCATGGTGGTCTTGAGCACTGTTCCAAGAACCGATGCTTGCTTGAAACTTCAACTTGTTCTCCTTCTCTCGCCTACAGTACGGCACAACACAGGGGCTCTGGGCGAGCTTTTGTCGCGCCCGTCTTTCAGTGCGTGCGCCACGTGGTACCGCGCTTACACGGCGGTGGCCAAGCTGCAGCCAGTAGCTCCGCCGACTGCTGCAAGGTCTATGCGTCCGCGTACGTAGTATATGCTGCAGCAAAAAAAAAAGTCGGTCCGTTCGGGTCATGTCGCAAGCCTTCGTCGCCGGTACATCTGCCGTCTGTTTCAGGTCTGTGCAAAATATAACGGTCGTCCCGGTGGTCTAGCGGGTAACCTCGCAGCCTGCTAAGGACCAGGTCATGAGTTCAAGTCCCGACAGAGAGAGTTTTTTCTCACTAAATAAATCCTGGTCTCCGTCGGAAGCGACGCTCTGCGAAGCGCTTTGTTAGAAAGCTTGATCGACTTCACATGTCGCGAGGGAAGGGATTTCTGTGCCCTTCTCGCGACAAAAAAATCTCAGGGAGGAACCGCAGGAAGGCTTCCAACCCCCCCCTCCTTTGTGACCAGGGTTGGGTCGTCTAGCTAGTAGAAGAGGAGGGGCTAGTGGGGCAGACGACAGAGTCCAATGATGGGAGAAAAAAAAAAAGTAGTGGGTGTTTAGGAAAGTCTCTGACCGTCCAAATATTCATATCTCATCTCAATGCAATAACACGTAACGCTCGTCATCATTTCGGGACCTTATGTAGGCAGCGATTACGAGGTAGATCCCATGCGCTTCCAAGCTGTGGAGTTTTTTCAATTTCGTCTTCTGTACGTTCGCGCAAATAATGGCTCCAAGCAGGAGACCTGCCGCCCTGCAGCCAGCAGAAGAGCAGCAGCAGCAGCAGGCTTCCTTCTTGCAGTTTTTCCATTTTCAACAACACTGGGTCTTAAGAAAACTTCAAGCCTATGTACACCCAAGCTTCCAGCGGCAAACACACCACATGAATGTGTTCTGATTGCACAGCGGTAGCGTTTCGCTCACGGGTGTGTTGCATCACTCACGACGCACGACGGCATGGGACCAGGTGTCGTATGCCTACAAAAAATACTCAATCAGGTGTGAAAGTCCACATGACATGCATACATTGCATCTGCTGTCTAGATCAAATTTCCACACCTGATCTGCGGCCGTGGGTGCTCAGCCCTCAGCTCTACCCGTTGGCAAGAGGACCAAGCTCACACCTCCGCAAGGGATTTTCCTGTTGCTGCCTCTCCTTGTTACTATCTCTCGCTCTTTCTGTCTCTCGGGCCCCCTGTCACACTCCGCACTGCAAGGAGGCAGGGGCAGTGCTGCGCATAGCAAAAAAAAAAAGTTAGACGTACGTAAGTGCCAACTCACACTCTACGGTGCTATACACGCACACAGCAGAGCCACCCCTCCAAGATGAAGTATCTTGGCTGTAGATGCCTCCAATAGCTAGCGACGGGTCCAAGTAGTATGAAATTCCATACAACACAGCGCTAGAACTCAGCAGTGAAAGACCTCACGTCGGCCCAAAAAAAATATGGAAAAGCATGCGAGCCCTCAAAGACGCGGCGGGACCCGCAAGCCGACGGCACATCCCTGGTGAATACGAGAACGCGCTGTATACGTTGCCAATTGGCACGAAACTTGGCACGAAGGCCAACTGTTGGGTAGAGAGCAAGATGACAAACTCTTGTAGTGCTTTGTTGCGCGTAGGCGGCGGGGAGGACAGATTTAGCTGAAAAATGGCATCCACGCGGTGGCGTCATGCGTAGTTGTCTCAAGTCTGTTTACCTCAGGATGTCTCTCGCATCTGTAGTCTAGCTGTCTTTTTTGCAGATGCATATGGTCCGTTCGGGCAAATATTCACAATCTTGTTTTTCGCGATATCTTTCGAAAAAAAACGATTTGGAAAGTGAAACAACTTTGGGCGTGACCGCGGCGTCGAGCTTCGTCGATATCCGATGAGTTTTTGGTGATTGGGTGAAATGCGGGCTCAGGGCCCATAGGTAGGGCTAGGCGGGGACGTAATATATAAATTTTCGCGCGAAGCGCGAAAAAATGTGAAGAGGCGTTTTCCCGGTCGGGCTGTTTTTTGGCTGTTTTTTCCGCTCCCCCCGATCCACTCAGCGCTGCGCACAGCCCAAAAAATAGTCGGGGCCCCGCAAATTCGCGGGGTTCCGCAGATTCGCGCACCTGCAGAAAATG